GTCGCTGTTACTTTATGCAGTGGTGTAGTTGCAGTACTCTATGCAGTGGTGTAATTGCCGTTACTCTATGCAGTGGTGTATTTGTAGTTACTGTATCCAGTTGTGTAGCTGCAGTTACTACATGCAGTGGTGTAGTTGCAGTTACTATATTCAGTGGTGTAGATGCAATTACTGTGTACACTGGTGCAGTTGTAGCTACTATATGCAGTGATGTAGTTGCAGTTACTCTATCCAGTGGTGTAGTTGCAGTTACTATATGCAGTGGTGTAGTTGCAGTTACTGCATGCAGTGGTGTAATTGCAGTTACTCTATGCAGTGATGTTGTTGCAGTTACTCTATCCAGTGGTGTAGTTGCAGTTACTCTATCCAGTGGTGTAGTTGCAGTTACTACATGCAGTATTGTAATTGCAGTTACGCTATGCAGTGATGTTGTTGCAGTTACTATATAGAGTGGTGTAGTTGCAGTTACTCTAACCAGTAGTGTAGTTGCAGTTACTCTATGCAGTGGTGTAGTTGCAGTTACAACATGCAGTGGTGTTATTGCAGTTACTCTATGCAGTGATGTTGTTGCAGTTACTTTATGCAGTGGTGTAGTTGCAGTAACTACATGCATTGGTGTAGTTGCAGTTACTATATGCAGTTGTATAGTTGCAGTTACTCTATGAAATGGTGTAGGTGCAGTTACTCTATGCCGTTGTGTAATTGCTGTTACTCTACGCAGTGTGTAGTTGCGTTGCTCGATGCAGTTGTGTAATTACAGTTACTGTGTACAGTGGTGTAGTTGCAGTTACTCTATGCAGTGGTGTAGTTGCAGTTACTTTATGCCGTGGTGTAATTGCTGTTGCTCTATGCAGTATGTAGTTGCGTTACTTGATGCAGTTGTGTAATTGCTGTTACTCTATGCAATGGTGTAGTTGCAGTTACTTTATTCAGTAATATACTTGCAGTTACTGTGTGCAGTGATGTTGTTGCAGTTACTTTATGCAGTGGTGTAGTTGCAGTTACTCTATGCATTTGTATAGTTGAAGTTACTCTATGTAGTGGTGTAGTTGCAGTAAATCTATGCAGTGGTGTAGTTGCAGTTACTCTATGTAGTGAAGTAATTGCTGCTACTCTATGCAGTGGTGTAGTTGCAGTTACTATATTCAGTGGTGTAATTGCAGTTACTGTGTACAGTGGTGTAGTTGCAGTTTCTTTATGCAGTGGTGTAATTGCAGTTACTACATGCAGTGGTGTAATTGCAGTTACTCCATTCAGTGGTGTAATTGCAGTTACTATATGCAGTGGTATGATTGCAGTTACTGTATCCAGTTGTGTAGTTGTAGTTACTCTATGCAGTGGTGTAGTTGCAGTTACTCAATGCAGTGATGTAGTTGCAATTACTATACACAGTGGTATAATTGCAGTAATTTTATGCGGTGGTGTAGTTGCAGTTACTACATGCAGTGGTGTAGTTACAGTAACTCTATGCAGTGGTGTAGTTGCAGTTACTATATGCAGTTGTTTAATTGCAGTTACTCTATGAAGTGGTGTAGTTGCAGTTACTTTATGCCGTGGTGTAATTGCTGTTACTCTATGCAGTGTGTAGTTGCGTTACTTGATTCAGTTGTGTAATTGCAGTTACTGTGTTCAGTGGTGTAGTTGCAGTTATTCTATGCAGTGGTGTAATTCTGTTACTCTATGCAGTGGTGTAGTTGCAGTTACTCTATTCAGTAGTGTAATTGCAGTTACTGTGCACAGTGGTGTAGTTGCAGTTACTCTATGCAGTGGTGTAGTTGCAGTTACTACATGCAGTGGTGTTATTGCAGTTACTCTATGCAGTGATGTTGTTGCAGTTACTTTATACAGTGGTGTAGTTGCAGTAACTACATGCATTGGTGTAGTTGCAGTTACTATATGCAGTTGTATAGTTGCAGTTACTCTATGAAATGGTGTAGGTGCAGTTACTCTATGCCGTTGTGTAATTGCTGTTACTCTACGCAGTGTGTAGTTGCGTTACTCGATGCAGTTGTGTAATTACAGTTACTGTGTACAGTGGTGTAGTTGCAGTTACTCTATGCAATGTGTAATTGTTGTTACTCTATGTAGTGTTGTAGTTGCAGTTACTCTATTCAGTGGTGTAATTGCTGTTACTCCATTCAGTGGTGTGGTTGCAGTTACTTTATGCAGTGGTATAATTGCAGTTACTCTATGCAGTCGTGTATTTGTAGTTACTGTATCCAGTTGTGTAGTTGTAGTTACTACATGCAGTGGTGTAGTTGCAGTTACTATATTCAGTGGTGCAGTTGCAATTACTGTGTACACTGGTGCAGTTGCAGCTACTATATGCAGCGATGTAGTTGCATTTACTCTATCCAGTGGTGTAATTGCAGTTACTCTATGCAGTGGTGTTTGCAGATACTGTATGCAGTTGTGTAGTTGTAGTTACTCTATGCAGTGGTGTAGTTGCAGTTACTACATGCAGTGGTGTAGTTGCAGTCACTCTATCCAGTGGTGTAGTTGCAGTTACTATATGAGTGGTGTAATTGCAGTTACTCTATGCATTGATGTTGTTGCTGTTACTATATACAGTGGCGTAGTTGCAGTTACTCCATGCAGTGATGTAGTTGCAGTTACTCTATCCAGTGGTGTAGTTGCAGTTACTACATGCAGTGTTGTAATTGCAGTTACTCTATGCAGTGATGTTGTTGCAGTTACTATATACAGTGGTGTAGTTGCAGTTACTTCATGCATTGGTGTAGTTGCAGTTACTATATGCAGTTGTATAGTTGCAGTTACTCTATGAAGTGGTGTAGTTGCAGTTACTCTATGCCGTTGTGAAATTGCTGTTACTCTACCCAGTGTGTAGTTGCGTTACTCGATGCAGTTGTGTAATTACAGTTACTGTGTACAGTGGTGTAGTTGCAGTTACTATACACAGTGGTATAATTGCAGTTATTTTATGCGGTGGTGTAGTTGCAGTTACTACATGCAGTGGTGTAGTTGCAGTTACTCTATGCAGTGGTCTAGTTGCAGTTACTATATGCAGTTGTATAATTGCAGTTACTCTATGAAGTGGTGTAGTTGCAGTTACTTTATGCCGTGGTGTAATTGCTGTTACTCTATGCAGTGTGTAGTTGCGTTACTTGATGCAGTTGTGTAATTGCAGTTACTGTGTACAGTGGTGTAGTTGCAGTTATTCTATGCAGTGGTGTAATTCTGTTACACTATGCAGTGGTGTAGTTGCTGTTACGCTATTCAAGTAGTGTAATTGCAGTTACTGTGCACAGTGGTGTAGTTGCAGTTACTCTATGCAGTGGTGTAGTTGCAGTTACTATATTCAGTGGTGTAATTGCAGTTACTGTGTACAGTGGTGTAGTTGCAGTTAATTTATGCAGTGGTGTAATTGCAGTTACTACATGCAGTGGTGTAATTGCAGTCACTCCATTCAGTGGTGTGGTTGCAGTTACTTTATGCAGTGGTGTAATTGCAGTTACTCTGTGCAGTGGTGTATTTGTAGTTACTGTATCCAGTTGTGTAGTTGTAGTTACTACAT